GGGACAGCCCTGCCTGGCAATGAGCAGCCCCCTGTGCCGGGAAGCAGGGGCACAGCTGTCACTCACCGGCGTGTCCCGCATCAAACGTCAGCCTCGGTTCTGCTCGGCTGCGCCCTGCGGGACCCAGCGTGGCAAAGAGCTCTGCGGGGACCCCAGAAACTCGCATTAGGTAGTTCAGTTCCCCTCAGGTGCCACGTCTTGTTTCTGCCTTTTCGTCCCTTCTGGTAGCAGAAGTAATGAGGCCTTCTGGCAAAACAGCGTTTCAGTGGCTGGGGGCTGTTGGTGTTTGGTATGCTGGTAGCAGGTAGAATTCACTTTTGTGAAGAGTGAGCAAAAAAGAGAGAAGTAGGTAAAATGAGTTTTATACAGGGTGTATTTTATAGCTCATAAAAATGCTCAAACCAAAAATACGTGCTTTGCTTCATTCCCCCCCCCCCCCGCATAACGTCTATTTATAAGACAAATGAAACTGAAGGAAAAATGCTAGTAGTTTATATACTGTACCTAGGTTATATTATCTGACAGACTTTTTAGTATGATGCCTCACAGAAACAGTAAAGAAAAAAATGACACTGTTCCTGTGAACTTGCCTCCATTCAAAACCTGTTGAGCATTAAGAGTATTTCCAGGGGATGGCTTTTTAAATTTAATTTTTCCTACTTGCCTCCTCAGCATTCACCCTGCATTGGAAATTGTTTCTTTCTGGACAACATCAGGGCCTCTGCCAGCTTGCAGCTCCCAGCCTGGGGTCTTGTGTCCCTTCCTGTTCTTCTCCCCTGCTCTCAGGAGTCTGATCAGAGCACACGATGGCTGTCACCCAACCTCCGTGTCCAAAGCTTTTCCTGGGCTGGGTGGGAGCTGACACATGCTCCATCTTGTTGTGACATGGAGTATCGTGGCCTCAAGTTGCGCCAGGGGAGGTTTAGATTGGGTGTTAGAAAGAATTTCTTCACTGAAGGGGTTTTCAGGCATTGGAACAGGCTGTCAGGGGCAGTGCTGGAGTCACCATCCCTGGAGGTATATAAGAGTCATATAAATAGAGTACTTAGGGATATGGTTTGGTTAAGGACTTGACATTGTTAGGTTAGCTGTTGGACTGGATGATCTTGAAGGTCTTTTCCAGCCAAGGTAATTCTGTGATCAGAAGTGCTCCTGGATTCCCATCCAGGTTTTGATGTAGCTCCTGGACTCACAATTATATCGGTGTCTTCTGGAGGTTTAATGTAAAGAATGAGCATAATATGTATAAAGGAAATGACTGATTTTCTCATGGAGCTAAATAAGTTTCTGTCCTCTCAAGATATATTATTGTCATATATATTATTAATGTTAACAACATTTGAAAAGATCTACCTGAATATAAAACCAGCATTAAATAGGGAGTGTATTTTGTGGAGGAAGGACTTCAGAAAACACATTAATGATGAATCAGATGGATAGGTACTACATTAAAATATTTCACAGGTGTATGGAAGAAAAGTTTGTTGCTTTTAAAACTGGAAAATACTGTAATATTGTAGGTGTCCTTTGTAATTTTAGACAAGTGAAAGCTGCAGTCTCAGCCTTGAGGAGTTAAAGAGAAAGTTCTCTTACTTAGGAAACTGTGGTTTTGGTCAAGGTGAGCTTTTAAATGGAAACCTAAGAGATTGCACCTGGAAATGTGAAGCAAGTAGCCTTAATGTAGGAATTTTCATTGGATATTAACCTTTTTCCCTTTTAAAAAAAATATATATTTTAGTTCCCAGGTCAGATAATTCTATTGCTATGCTTCCAGTGGTGTATATTGGAAGTCTTCCATAGGCTTGGAGTTCAGTCAGATGAATGACCCTTAAGTGACAAAGCAAGACTAAGATATGAAAATAAGTGAAAACAAAGTACCCAAGAAAATGGCAAGTAAGAGGAAGGCTGCAAAGTAGCCCTTGTAGGATGATGATCAATTATAGAAAATGGGAACCAATAGCTTAACGTGGGACAAGGTGGTTTTCCAAGGCAAAATCTTGCCAAGTACTGGTCAAAATAATGTCTGTACTAGTGAAAAGGCCTATTTGACAGCTTCCTTTTATCCACTAATGAAATTAAGTATCTTGCAAAATTGGAAAGGCCATGTAACAAAAAAGGGAATAATTCATATAAATCTTTTAATCAAAATTTGGTTCCTGAGTGTCTTCTCCAGGATGGAAACAAATTTCACTGACTTACTCCTTTCCTATGCTGAGATGTAGGGTCATGCTGTCTGTGAGCTCTTCCTCTCCCCTTCCTTTACTAGTTGATAGGTAGGATAACAGTTTGAATAGCCTTGGGCTGCCAAATGGTCTTCTGGAAGCCAGATGGATTCTATCTGCAGTTTATTTTGTTCCTAAGTATGTTATGCTTCTTTGAAACCAGCTGTTATCCTTAATGAGCCCATTAATACTTTCTCAAACTGTTACAAGTTAAGTCCCATGAGCAATCACCAACTTTAAGCCACTCAGTCATATTCTGCACACAAACAAAACTCCATTTTGTCAAAGTACTTTTAAAGTCCTCTCTTTTTTTGCCAAGAAGCTTTTATGTTCTGTTCTCAGTAATAAATATCTACTCTTAAGTTACTGAGTTTAGTAATAGAAAATGTCCCTGATCATAAGGTGTATGTAACTCAGCTAGAAACTGGGAAGAACCAGTTCAGTGACTTGTCCAGTGGCTATGCTTTCAGAGACCTGAA